TCGAACATTAGCTGTAGTGCCTTGCAAGTCTCCGGCCCGGCATCGTAGGGCAGGGACGCTTTCGAGATATCCAGGTATTTCAGAGAACGATTCACCCGTAGAGCTTCGACTAACTCTTGGAACTGCTCCTCTTTCTTGAAATCAATCATCCGCATAGACAAGTGCGTCGGAGTTTTGTTCTGAGCTATGGCGTCGAATAGGTACGAGCAACCCTGATCAAGGCGGTTCTCGTTTACATGCAGATGCAGGTTGCGAGACTCAAGGACCGCCATAGAATGCAGGAAAATCGCCACGTCCTGACCACTCAGACCACACTGGTCGAATTTGACGACGCGCAAGCCTTGGGAGCGATCGCTAGCCAAATACGTGGCAATAGCGTCAACGGTCTGCCGGTTGACGGCTGTCCGGCTCAGCGAAAGTTCCTCGAGGCGCCAATTGATTAATGTCTCGGGCGTGAGAAGCGGCTCCGGACCAGATGTGCGCGAGATTCGCGACAAGTCCAGAGTCTTGATGTGGCTGAAGTAACCAAGATACTGGGGAAGGATATCCGGGGTCAGACGGCCTTGTACGCCGGAAATGTTGATCGCCTCCAACGTGTGCGACTGAGCAACGACGGTTGACAGCAACAAGTCCAGATCGTGCACAGATAGGCCACAATTGCCCACTTCGAGTGCCCGCATGTGACTTCCTCGCTGCGACGCCGCATCGACAAGATAGTCCAAGTCGGAATCTCCCAGTTTGATGCCATTGAGAACAACCCAGTCCACGCTCGTCAGCTCTCGACGACATATCGGAAAGATCGCCTCTGGGATACCACAGCCGGGGTCATGACTTTCACTATCAGACTTGGGGACGCGGCTCAGTGTGTAGGAAAAGTCAAGGCGTCGGAGCCATTTGCTCTTCAGGGTCAAAGCCCGAACTTCTTGAGATAAAACAGATAGGTTCTCTTGCCCGGGAATGTTAATGGTTGCACCAGCACGACTTAGAAGAGCATCTTTGTCTGTCCCATGCGTGTCGCGCAGCCCCTGGAGGGCATCTAAGCTCACTCCGCTGAATGAAATCGCACGGAAAGACTCGTTGTAGCGCAAGGCCCGCAGAACGGCGATTAATTCCAAAGCCGTATACTTCCGACGTGCTGAAGGAGGCAGTAGCTTGAAACAGGGAGCATCGTCACATTGCATGTCAATCGTATATCGGATGTTAGACGTATCAATGTCGTAGCTGGCAGAATAAGCAACCAAGGTCCGGTCGAAGCAACCGAAATCTTCGTCAAGGTCTACCGGGGGAAAATTGTTTTCATTGTCAAGATCTCGGGGAACGATGAAGTCATAAGGCTGCTTGAGCCATAACGGTCGCAAGAATTCCGTCTGCTGTCTGATCCAGAAGGCAACCTCCAAAGAATGAACGGATGCAAGGAAAACGGAGAATGGTTTGCGAAGGGGCAATCGAAATGTCAGATGTAAGCTATCGTCCCCCCACTCCATCGACAAACAGGTCAAGTTCATGAGCCCAAAGGACGTTGCAGCATCCAAGTCGCTCAACGATACCACAGAGCTGCGACTGGAAATCTTGTGCAGTGGAATAAGATGGAGCTTGTGAGAACCCAGCGCGAGGTAACAGCCGGTCGGTGAGAGTTTGGTGAGATCCTCCGACGAGGCCCGCGTCGGAGATTTGCTGGATGCCATCTGGATGACTCGGAACATGCGAAACGTCTCAGGGTCGTAGTCCCGTTCGTAGTCCAGCATTCGCACCACACAGTCCACCGTCTTTCGGTCAAACGGTAAAGGGTCTGCTCCTCGGATCAGCTCCGCCGCGGAGCGAATGCCCACCATCCATAGGTTGAGTTCCTGAAAATCCGGAGTCTGCATCTGGATAAAGGTGGCTTTCTGTGCTCGCTCATCAACATAGGCGACCTCCACTGTGGACGACGGCCGACCATCGTCCAACATGTAAACTGCAATGATGCTATTCAGGGCAATTCCGGAAGAGTTATCGCCAGGCATCCCCAGCTGCGGATCCTGCATTGAGCTGATGGAGACGACGGATTGACGATTGCTTGCCAGGGACCGGGAGTAAGACGAGGGGATAGATGGAAACATGTCGGCAGCTTTGCTCTGATTCTTGAACCGGACCAGGTGGGTATCGGTCAGGACCAAGTAGTGACTCTTCTTTCGCCACATGCCGCCTGTGATCTGAATTTCGCCATGGTGCAAGATAATGGAACCGATACCCTGCCGGATGTCGGGGTTGTCTTCGTCCAGGGAGCTGGCTTTGGAGCGGCCAAGGGATCGGTCGTCATCTTCCAACGAATGAAGGGAGCGCAGCGAGCCGAAAACCGAGGCCCGTCTCTTCTGCATCGACTTGCGTCGAGAGCGCGGGCCCTCGAGGGCTGGCGGGGGCATCATGCATGCTGTCGATTCCGAATCGGCGGTGCCGGGACGACGCAGGGTGTAGCTGGTGCCGGCTCTTGGCGGACTGGGGTTCCGGACCCCAAAGAAGCCAGAGTTGCGGCGTGATTTCTTTTTCGAGGCTTGAGCATCATCCGAGGGCGATCGTTGGTGTACTGCGGGGTCGGACAGGGAAGAGGTTGTGAAGGATGGGCTAAAGACGCTCAGGCTTTTTCTCCGCTCTTTCTTCCCCAGAAGGTCGGCCATGACGGGGATTTAGGGGAAGGATGAGGGCGGAGAAAAGGGGTGAAGAGAAGGTGGGAAGAAGCGCTCGAAATGCGAAAGGAGGGAGGGATGGAGGAAGCTAGCTAGCTAGCTAGCTGCAGCAATCACGGGCAGTAAGCGGCAGCAGTGGTCAGATGGTGGTGGCAGGATTGGGGTTGTTTATTGTTTTAAAGAAAGGATATCACATTGAGAGGCCGAAAATGGGGTCTCACTAGAAAAATGCAAAAAGCGAAAGGATGGCGACTGTTAGCATGAATCATGACCGATGGCGATAAGAGGGAAATTTTGGGGGTGGGTGGAAAAGAAGGAGAGTGGAGAGAAAGTGAGAGGGAGGAGTATGGGCTTGGGGCAGAGGAGATTGGAGCAAGACACAGGCAGGAGTGATTGAAACCCCAGCGGTTGACTAGTGACTTAGAGAGGTGGAGCTGGGCGCGGATGCACCAAATGAGGAGCCACGGGCAGGGGGGAAGGAGGGGGAACAAGGCAGGAGGAGGAGAGAAGGGAAGGGAAAAAAATCAAAAGAAAAAGGTGGAACATACAGTAGCCATCAAGGCAGTTAGTTGGAGTTGTGCGAAATCGGTGGGTTGACTTGGGTAGTCCAAGGTAAGACTCAATACCAGATGGAGTCAAAGAAGAAGGGGGGAAAGAGAAAATTGAATGAGTAAAGAGAAGGATATTTTGTTGACCTTCGCAACAAACTTAATGTCAATGTCAACGATTGCAAAAGACAACTTGAAGCAAGGAAATCAGATTGTGTCCAAACAGAACGATATAGAAAAAGATAGCAGAAGAAGAGAATGTACGGGTGGAGGAGGTCAAAACAAGAACCAGCAAACCCCCAGACCCGTGGATAGAAGTTCGGAGACCGTCAGTTGGTTTAAATGGGGAAGGGGATGGTGGGTGGGTGGAAAGAGGGGATGGGAAGATCGGAGTGGACGGCGATCTGCTTAGAGTATAACTAACTTGATAGACGTGTAGATCAAGCCGGAAGATGAGGTCGTCGTCACCGTGATGATTTCAAAACTCTCCCTCTTACATTCACACAACCTGTCAAATCCCCAGATGGTCGACCGGACGCGGAAGGTGTTTATCAATCCCACGAGGGGAGGGGGAGGGGGGAGGAGAAAGAGAGAGCGAGACAGCAGAAAAAGAAGCAGAAGAGCTCACCAATCTGTGTAATAAGAGTTTTGCTCACTACCTACTACTACTGGGTAGTGTCTGGTCTGGGTGGCGATTCCCTTAGAGGAGGATATGGAGCTTGGGAGGGCAACGAGCAACGGTGACAATGCCAATGCCAATGCCAATGACAATGCCAATGACAATGCCAATGACAATTGAAGGCGCCCGGATAAGGCAAGCAAGAGATGCAAACAGAAGGTCAGGTACTCAGGTACTCAGGTACACAGGTACAGCTTCAAAGCAATTGTTTAGAATTTCGGATATTAGCGTTCCAGTTCCAGTGTTCCTGACAGGGACAATCCGGAGAATATCAATTATTGGATCCCGGATCCAGGCAAATGATGTCAGTGTCGAGAGTCTCTTCCCGCAAACGATCGTCCAACAAACCCTGACAAACCCTGCCAACCCCCTGCGAACAGCATTCAACATGTAAATGTGACGAGGGAAGTAAACTCAAAACCAATTCTTGAGCGGAATTGAAGTCATTGTATCAGTCGAAGTGAGGGGAAATCAGGGGGTAGTAATCCGTGGAGTTTTCCCAACGAGGATGGGGGGGGAAACGAGGATATGTGAGGGAGGACCCAAACTGACTGACTCGGGGACGGAAAAGGTTCCCTCCCCGGTCTCTCAGAGCTATTTCTACGTTATTCATATATCTTCTATTGTTCAATATCATCTAACAATCGTTAAAATGTCAGTACTACTAGACAATCAGAACCATCCACACACTTCTTCTATGCCAAGTCATCACTTCCACAATACCTCACCAGCCAGCTAGACCAACAATAAATAGCAATTCGGCCCGCCTCACCAGCCCAAAACTCCGTTCATCTCGGGTTGCCTTCCCAGCCGAAATTTCCACCGAGTAGTCACTGTCGCCGCTCGCTTAAAGAAGGGCATACAAATCAGGTACACTCCCCGACCGTAGAAATCCTCTTCTCTCTTCCTCTTTTCTCTTGTGTCTTACCCTGCCCTTCCCATCCTCTTAGTCCCACTCAGCACCCCAGATAACTCAGAAGCTGCCCCCCTCCCCCTCCCTCCAGGCGATCAACGGTGGACTGCAAAGTGTGAAACGCGTTCGAGAAGCCGATCTCCAGCCGCGTCATTGGCGCTACGTCGGACGCCTGTCGAGCTAGAACAGGAGAGAAGCTCCACTTTCGCCCCCCAGTGGCCTGCATCATCTTTGCCCGGCGCACCGCGGCTCTTAGACTAGTAGACTAGACTACGACGGTTTAGGGTCGGAGCTGTGCCCACGGTCTGGATCGTAGCTATTCTGGCATGACATGCTCTCTACTCCGTACTAACGAGAAAGAAGGCGAGGCCCGCGCGACGGCAAGAGATCAACGATGTTCTAGCCGGGGTCGGTTGGGATTTTATTTTTTGATTTGGAGGACTGTTGGACTTTTGACATTTTCACCGCCTCGTTTGATCGTTCTTTTCTTTCTTCTTTCCATCACTGAGGCTTGGCTAAGGGGGGACGACGGTGGAAAAAAAAAAACCGCAACAAGAAAAAAAAGCAAAGACGATGCTGCAGGTGCAGGGAGGCAAGAACCCTTTCCAGCGAACGCCCGTTCCAATGGATCGTATTTACCCCTGAATCGGGCTCCTCTCATTTTAAACTCGCGATCTACTCCGTACAATGTCTACCGCAGGCCGGCTCGCGTACCCGAAGATCCTCCCGGGCTCTCCACAATGGCAGGTCAGACACTCAGACTGGTCAGCCTTTTGTCTCGACGGTTTGCCAGTCAGTCCCCTGGTGGGTGGTTGTTTGCTTACCCATCTACGTGGTGCTCTAGTTCGCTATCGGCTGGACCCTTGGTGGCTGACCGATCTCGGCGCTGGCTTGGGTAGCGTGTTCCAGGTTGGGTTGAAGTGCGTTTCGCGAGAACCCTTCAAAAACGGTAGTTGCGATAGAGTGGAGCATGGGATGGAGAATGCCGACAGAAAAATGAATCTAGAAGAGTGGCTATGCTGTGGTTTCGCAAGTCAGTCTGAATGGTCGATTCTATCCTCGTTCTGGCTACTGTCGCTGTCGCTGAAAATGGATCCGGCGCAGCCCGCCTCGCCCCGGGTATAGTTAACGAGGACATACCAACCTAGTCGAGACCCTTGGCAGCTCTCTCGGCCTGAAGCTTCTCCGCCCGCTTCACCTTGCGCACGAACTTGATGTATTCATCCACCCGTTTCTCGGCCCAGATATACCCACCGAGCGTCATGGCCCCGATTTGCAGGAAGACTTTGAATTGCGGCGTCAGTCCGCGATAGACGCGAGAGGCCGGAGACAGCCAGTCGGAGAAGCCCTCCAGGGGCCGATGGAACAGTCGAGAACGAATGTAGTCTTTGGAGAACGGCGACTGTTTCGGTCGCGCGGTTTTGGGGGGTTGCGAGGGGACTGGTGCAGACGATGCGGGGGAGAATTTAAAGGGATGTGGGAGAATCATGATCATGTGTGCGATGATTGAGACGGAGCCGAACTATAATCTGAGTCAATAGCTTGGAAGAGCGGTCCAGGGAAGGTATTAATCATACTCGGAATGCACCCGTAAGAAACCCCCGAACGGCCTCGGAGGTGATGTGCTCGGGCGGTTCGACTTCATGCCTCTGCCAGGAGGGGGGTGGCATATTGGCGGTAGTATCAAGAGTATGCTGATCGGGAGAAGTAAAACGGTATCAATGTAGAAAGTAGCTACAGTAAGTCCAATCAATACTAAAGGTGGGAGACAGCACGAGGTGATGAATGCGATAAGTTGAACTGGTTCATGCAGGACAAAAAAGAAATTGGAGGACCATCATATGACGCAGTGAATCCCGGGGAGGGGGAGGGAAGCATATCCCGCCGCGGAAATACTGAATTTCCGACTGGAATGCGGGCGGGATTTGTTCCGCCCCGCGAAATTCTGAGTCAAATTGGGAGATAAGTGAGTAGTGAGTAGGTAATCGAATCACCGCCCCTCGATTTCAATCCACTCCACCTCACAGCATCCACTGCCCACTGCCAGGTGCCTCCAGGTTGAATTCAGGATTGAGCCCTGCCAACCTACCAACCGACAATCGCATCAATCCTTCCTAACCATCCATCTCTCAATTCCTTTCCCCCCCCTCCCCAAAAAGAACAGAAAAAGGTTCATACGACAGTGGTCGAACGCCATCACCTCACCTTCACAATGTCTCTCCCCGCCCGCACCGCATCCATCTCTCGCAACACCAACGAGACCAAGATCCAGGTCTCGCTCTCCCTGGACGGCGGCATCCTGCCCCCCTACGAACCCAGCCAACACTTCCCCGCGCCGACCGACCCCGCGGAGGCCGAAGCCGCGAAGAAGGGCATTGTCCCGCCCAAAGATGCCGCACACGCCACCCAGTTCACCCCGACGCAGCAGATCACCGTGAGCACGGGCATTGGGTTCTTGGATCACATGCTGCACGCGCTGGCGAAGCACTCGGGCTGGAGTCTGGCGGTTCGCGCCAAGGGAGATCTATACAGTACGTTTTTCTAACCCGAATCATCGAAGCATTCTGTCCCCCGTGGGGGCCTGTGTTGTTTTCGTTCCCATAAAGGATCGATGGACTGAACACTACTCTGTGCGATTATAGTCGACGACCACCACACGACCGAAGACACATTCCTCGCCGTTGGATCGGCATTCACCGAGGCTCTGGGCGCGCGACAGTCGCTGGCGCGGTTCGGGCGCGGGGACGCGCCGCTGGACGAGGCTCTGTCGTGGGCGGTGATCGATCTGTCCAGCCGGCCCTGGGCGGTCATCAACCTGGGATTCCGTCGGGAGAAGATCGGTGATCTGAGCACGGAGATGATCACCCACGGTCTGCAGAGTTTCGCCCAGGCGGCCGGCGTGACGCTGCACGTGGGTTGCACCTATGGCGACAACGACCACCACCGGGCGGAGAGTGCGTTCAAGGCGCTGGCTGTGGCGATTCGGGCGGCGTGCACGAGACGGGTTGCAGGCGAGGTCGGCGCGGGAGATGTCGTGAGTACCAAGGGAGTTTTGTAGATTGCAAGGGTTGAATTGCGATTCGTTTAAAAATGATAGACAAAGTCATATTGTTGTTACACCTGGGAGATATCACCTTCTAATGCTATCACCCGCACCCACCACACCATTCCATCTCATCAACCTAAATAAACTCTTAAAGACATCGGAACAACACCACCCCAAATCCCCCTTCCCAAAGAGGACACCACCACCCCTTCAGACCCCCAGAGCCTCAACAGCCCGACTCCAATAAGCCTTTCGATCATCATTCGCAGCCGTCCCAACGCAGCCAGTAATGAAAGCCTCCCAGCCCGCCTGGGTCCCCTGCTGCAACTGGCCGCGCACACTGGCAGTACACTGCGTGGTCAGGAACCACGCCCCGGAGCCAAAGTCATACTCCGGGACCGCGCGCAGCAGATCCAACGTCCCTGTCGGATCCCCGTTGACGGCCTTCAGCGAGTCGGCGAGGGCGGGGATCGACGCCGCGTATTTGGCATTGAAGGCGGAGGATTGCATGTTCCGAGCTAGATGGACCGGATAATTCATCAACATATAATCCTTAATTCTGTTCTCTCAACAGAAAACCATGCGAAAGGGGTAGAGGAAGAGAAGAACACAAGACCAGGGAGGAAAGTAAAACCAGAAAACTACCACCCCCCACCCCAAACAAAAGGTGTAAGCACTTACTGCCCTGGCCCGCAACACCCGGGAAATGATTCTTGTTGTACTTGAAATCCCCACTTTCGAAGGCCATCAAGCCGATCACCGCGGCCTGCTCGGCTTTATTGGTCACCCCGTAGGTTTGGAAGGATTTAGAGATGCTGGAGGCGGCGGTGTCGGAGGTGGCACACTCGCCGGCGGCCGGGGCGTTGGCGCAGGTGTTGGAGGTAGGGGCAATGGTTTGGATCTGCTCGCTGGTGATTTGCGTCGAATCACGGGTCCACAGCTGTCCCTGGCCCGTGGGGGCGGCGTGGATCAAGAGAGGGGAGAGGAGAAGGATGCTGGTGAGGGAAAAGGTCTTCATCGTGGATGGTTTGTATGTATGTATGTAGCTTAAAAGCAACCAAGAAAGTAGGGTTAGGGTAATGGGTAAGGTAGTAAGTAGTAGTATGTATAAAATGGAACTCCAAATCACTGAATGAATATATCGATAGAGAGATTTAAATCCCAACAGACAAACAGGAAAATCAAGGGGCTTAAGAATCTCCCAGAAGTCTGCCTATGTCACCTCCCTCGAGCGCCCAGATTATGCCTGGCCATGATTGACATTCCTTCAGGATGAAGACCCCTCAGAAATATGTGGAGCAGACCCTCGTACTCTGTCAATCTTCCCCGCCAACCACGCCCTGAAGATCCCTTCAGCCCAACACCCTGTGCGGCTGTGTGTCATCCTTCAACTCCAACTCCCACCTTGCGCCTCATGATTGGAGTCGACCCTGAGGCGAAGTGAGATCAAGTGGGATCAAGTGGGAACCTTCCTCCGTCTATAAATTGTTTGCAGTCGGCAGTGCGCTTATTCCGCCCTGCGCCACGCTCATTGGTCCATGCTGTATGGCCAAGTGTTTCACCGGTCCGTGACTGATCTCAACCCTCGTATACCCGACTTCTGTGTAGGTAACTGATTCACTCTTAACTACCCGCACATATAACCTCTAACTTACTCGGACAGTGCTAAAATATGCCGATCTTCATAGTAGGGTGGCAAGCCACCACAGCATTTCATTCAGTGGTCCCAGCAGCACCAGGCATCTGTGACTAGAATTTCAAACAACTCTCTACCCAAAATCAATCGCGAGTCTATGGGTGGGGTAGGAAAGGTGTAAAAGGTGTAAAAGGGTAAACAGACAGTGAAGAATCGAAGGCAAAAAGAAAAGTGTAAGACATCCAAGAAAGAAAGCCAGATACGACACACGTGCGCTGCCTTGCAGAACGCCCGCGCATAAATCAAAGTATCTTGCCAAAACATGTACAAGGAACCCTATGCTTTAGAAAGCATCTCGGTCAAAACCCAAGTCCCCCTCCCGAACTCCGTACATGCACTTCTGAAATTAGACGAAATCCCCGACGATATCGGGAGACATTAAAATGGTAGAGGAAAAGTAGGATGTCATCAAGTCCCAACGCGAGAAGACTGTAAAGGTACGCGTTGTAAGTCGAAACGCTTAGTCACGACGACTGTAAAGTTCATAGGAAGTTTCCGTAACACCGTTCGCTTCTTCGTCTTCCTTGAAGCTGACCCGGCGAAGGAGAGTGGGCATCATCCGACGCGACATTCTTGTCGGGGAAGGTAACCGGGCTCCCGTCACGAAAGAAGGAATCTTTGCATAACGGTAGCGGTACTTCGAACCAAGCACCATAACCCGAACATAGAGCCACCAGAGGGAGAATCCGACCACGGCAGCCAGAATGAATCCGAGAACGGTGAGGAACATCCAGTGCTGGCCCATCCAGAAGATCAGACGGGCGTCTTTGCCATGCCAGCTGTTCCCCACGTGGTGAGTGAAGAAACTCCACGAGTGCTTGTTGTACTCGTCCTTCATCAAGATGCGCACACGTGCCGACTCGCTCGGAAGGGTTTGCATGTATTCCTTCCAGATCACCGAGAGGAAGAGCGGGCCGGTGGAGTACATCACGGTGATATACGGCAGAAGCCAATGGCGGTCATAAGACTGCAACAGCTCGATCACGCGCAAGAAAAAAGGATGCTGTGGAACAGAGCCCATCGCGTCATTGGAGATACCGGTGGGAACAGTGCGTCGCACCCAAGCAGGGTAGGCGAGAAGAGGATCTAGGCGACGGTTGCATCCCTGCGGATCGGTCAATAACATGGTCATCAGCGAGAGAAAAGGGTACACACATCGTCAAGGTCAATGTAGGTGCCACCGTAGTGGGCCAGAACAAAGTATCTAATCGAATCTGCCCGCTGAATCGGGTACTTGTAGCCATCGAACGTCTCGAGAAACCAGGGATATTCGTTGGCGATAAACTCGCGCGACTTCTCATTCGTCCACAGCTGTTTCGAGCAAGCTTGTGTTAGTCTCAGGTATAAATCTTCAACAATGGCAAGTGACATACAATGTACTCGTAGTCAGGGTGCAAGTCAATGCAGCTCTGCTGAGCTTCTCTCCACACCTCGGGGATCGTCTCGTTTTTGTAGGTCTGGTGGATGATTTTGGGGATGATTTGCGGCCGTTGTTCGATTAGACTGGAATTCGGCGAGGGGAGCTCGGCACGATGAATGGCGTCGGCGGAAGCATCTTCCACGAGCAGCGACAGAAGCGTGAACACACTGCGCACCAGAAAGGTGACTATGAGGAGGTTGACGAGGAGGAAAATCAAGACACCGCGCCGCATGATGAAAGACGGAGTAGAAGGTGAACTAGAACAATTGCCGAAATTACGAAGCGCTGCAAGGATGCAGAATTCAATTGATGCGATTAGTGTGTCGTAACGTCGTGTTGACCGCAGCGGGAAGGAACGAAAGGGCCGCGAGAACGATATACCCAAACCACAACACTTCCAGATTTCCCCGCAATATAAACACAGCGGCGAAAAAGCAATGCAGGGTGGACGATAGACGAAAAACCTTATTGTCCTTGAAAGCCAGACAACATGGGACGTCGAGGGTCAGGTCGAGAAATTGTGATGCGATGCAATGCAATGGCAATGGAGGAGAGGAAAAAACGTTGAGTTTGAAGGGAGGTCGAATTAAGGAATGACGGCCGTGAGACTTCCTGGTAACGTTTCCCCTTTTTCCTTTTTGAGTTACCCTAAATGGAGACCGGTCTGATGGTCTAAAGGATCACAGCTCGCACAGATAACTAAACAAGGCAAGGACTGGCGTGGTGGTAGTAGTAGTAAGAGTGAAGAAAGGAAAGAGAATCGAGCAGTAACCACGGGGAAGGCAGGTGGTGATAGATAAAGTGGTGATTATTATTAGGTTCCCGTAGTGAACCAAGCCCCCAGTCAAGACGCTGGGATTGGGGAGCGTGGGGGGTGGATAAATTTATTTGGGGGAAAAAGTGACGAAAAGAGGAGGCAAGAAAGAGAATTGATTGAATAGGTATGGAGAGAGGGGATCGATTTAACCAGGTGGACAAATAATAGGAAAGGAGTGCGTAATTTACTGGTCCATCGACTGGGACAAAAAGAAGGACTATGTGATAGGCAGAGAGTAAAAAGAAAGCTAGGCGAGCCAAAGGAACGAACGGTGCCTTAGCAACAAAGCAGTAAGAAATAATATTTAAGGTAGAGAGTGTGGCGGAAAAAAAGACAACGGATTGACTAGTTAAGAGAGAAGGGGATCCTTTTGGGGGGAGGGGGGGGAGAGAAGGGGAAGAGACACGGAGGTTGTTGAGGAGAAGACGGAGAAAGCGAGCGGAAGAGAGAGAGACACCGCGCGAAGCGTCACCAACGGCCCATGGTTTTACTGGGTCTTACTGGAGAAGGGGGGGATGAAATGGGTGTGTGAAAGGGGAGGAAGAGGGGAGATGGAAGGGAAGGGGGGCTAACAGTGGGGGAAAGGAAGAGACTGGGAGACTGAGAGAAGTGGAAAGTGGATCCTGGACCCATCATGAATCCTTTTTTTCCATTTTCCACCGCCTGTTGTATGGGGAAAGGTTTGCGTTACTGCCAGTGCTAAGCCTCCGCCACTAGGTCATTTTCAGTGAGGTCGGTCTCCTCCTCTACTAGTTTGGGATTAGACTTGAGAGGCAACTTTAGTCTGTGGTACTAGTACTAGACGGTACTTAGGCTAGGAACCGTACTCGTTTAGTGGGAAGTTAGTTTGTCTAGTGGTTCCTCTTCTCCTCTGTCTGGGTCCTCGGGGCAATGCTGAATCCCGTCTGCTGCTGCTTTGCTGCTTGGGCTGCTTGCACGGAGTACATACATACATCATCGCCTACTCCGTACATCATTGCACTGTCTACTGACATTACGGTTGTCCATCAAGTGTCAACTCCACCAATGACCAAGCACTGGCAGTCAGGCCCATTCCTTGAGGCGAACAAGGTGCGTTGCCACTTGGCAGGTGGCTGTACAGGTCCTCGAAGAAACTCGCTCATTCTTACCGCCCACCGCCTCAAGGCTCAAGAGTCAACACGTTGAATAACGTTCGAGAGTTTAGTCGAGTGCGCTAATCATTTCCAGCCTCGCTGTGGTGGGAAAGCGTGGTGCCAGATATCCACTCTTTGATTGGTGCCGCGGAAATAGGCCCCAAAAGCACAGCCATCACGGCTCGGCCAAATGATATCCCACCGCGGCGTTGGCAACCACCCGGGGGGAGAAAAACTTCAATTCTGGTACGGTAGACAATTACATGAGTAGTAAGGTCAATAACAATTGAGATTGCATCCAGAGGTTAGTTAGTAGTAGAGCCTTGTGAAATCATGATTGACACTAGGAGGTGATATTAGCGGGATACTATGACATCCCCTGCTCGGGCGTCGATTGTTGAATTATTGTTGGGGAGGAAATCCAATGATCTGATCATGTCTGTACGTAGCCTTGTACATGCAAGTCGGAGAGTTTAGGTGAGCAATAGTTGGTACAGATTGAGAAAGCCCTAACCTACTAGTCTATTGATGAATCGATCTCAATTCTGATCATTATTTTTACGACCGCATTCGAGTAACTAACCAGCCAAGTGAATTCCCCGCTGACTAAGACCGTGGTCTTAAGTTAAGCTACTGTCTTAACTTCTCAATCCCTGACGAAGTTCCTTACTTGGCAGATTTCAGTTCAAAAGCTGCGTGTGTCAGGTCAGCATGCGGGATGCAGTTGATCTCGGGTCTCTCAATGCTCATTGCCCCGGAGCATGCTTCCAAGGATCTAAGTTTGGAACGGAGGTAAAACACCCCAATGCCCGGCCTGCGCATGCAGGTCTGCTGCATAAAGAAGCCGACAGATAGAACCAGTTTACCTTTCTGATACTATTGGCGGGTAGCTCATACTGTATTCATGCAAGTGTAGGCGACCTCACTTTTTACGACCTCTGTCAGTGCCAGTGCGTGCGGCAAGCACCTTGTGACGACAAGATCCTCGACATGGAAGACAGTGCACTAGCACGGATCCTATCACATGGTGACATTTATCGCGAAAAAGTGAGAGGAATCGAAGATAAGAAGCGGGGCATAACCAACAACATGAACAAACAACAGGACCCCTCTAGGCAGAAGAAAAACCAGGCCAGCCAATTCCAAGGTCGACGGCTGCTTGCCACAGTACGTAGTAGAATAGGTTCCAGGATTCCCAGCCACAACGAGTGTGTGACACTACATCATCGTCTCTGTGCACGACTGTTCATCACAGGCTGAGCCTCGTTGAGTATTCCAAGGCCAGCCAACCACCGAACCAAACTCCGTCGGAACGGGTATGCATTTACGAGTACGATTCCCGGCGACCGGGCGACTTTCCCGCCGACTCGCCGACCGACTGACTCTCTGGATTCTGGAATGGGTGGGACCTCGACTAGTGACTGCTTCTTCCGGGCTCCACAAACCTGTGAGTGAGATTTGACAGATGGAGATTTGGGATAACTTATCAATTCGAGAGTTTAATTAGTCGAGCTGAGTCGAGTCGAGTCGAGTCGGATGAGCATCAAAGCTACCGAGTACAGAGGATGTATGTATCCGTGTGAGCAGCTGACCCTCCACCCGACCTCTCGAAGATAGTGACACCTGATTATTTTGCCACTAGAGGGGGACAAAATTTACTAGTGAAGAGCCAAAAAAGAAAAAAGTTATCCCCAGATTTGCACCAACCTCGGCTCTCCTGCTAGACGACCCTCGACAAAACCATTTCTAAACACCGAGAAAACCAAAAGGAATCGCCCGGTCCACTCTTCCTTCAATGGCTTTCCCCGTCGACCCACGGCTTGTCAAGGTTCCATGCTTTAAGTCAGATCCTTTCGTCCTACTCGCCGATTAGACTGTCAGACGCGTGGACAAGCAGATGGTGCCGTGGTGGATGTTGAGCTAGACCAGCTATTACCGGGGGAGTTGTTTCACCTTTTCCTTCCAACTTCCAAGGACAATTTCTCCGATCGCTCGTCGCCGGGCGGTGGATTTTTGCCAACCGCATTTGTGTCCCAGACTGTACCTTCGTACTCGTACACTGCCTTGGGCAGCAATAGTTAATGCCAAGGTGTTGAGGAAACAGAAATACTGTACACATGGACAACGATCCAGACCTCGCCCCCGACATTCGAAATCTTGGCCTCACATGCAACAGAAATGAAACATCCCCCCCCTTAACTTAGCCTCTTTGTGGGAGACGGATAGATACTCCCGGCGTACACCGAAGTTCCCCTCCCTGGACCCTGCCCCTTGCACCGTTGCACCTCAATTCAAGGAGCAGCGACGATCAATTCTCCTACTGTACGAGCAGATTCGGGACCTCGCACATCGCAGTCTAATCTCCCGATAATCCTCCTTCCTAATGTACTGTACTCCGTACATGTCTACTCAATTCTTACCTCTGCATAATCAATCTCTCTGTCTGAGGCAGGAAAAGGGACTCTCTACATTGTAGTTGTTCGTAGTTATACAGTACAGGATTTACGTCGTCGGTCTCTCCCAACAACCCCGCATCCCGTGTCTGGCCACAAAATGACAATAGCATCATCGACACCCACCCCGGTTGTCGCCGTGGGAAACCCGGACGCCGCTTATGAAATTTTGATGTTATGTCGTAGGGATGGACCAACCAATGCGAGGTGGTTGGTGATCAACAAGTCTAGCGAATGATGATCACTACGTGGGCCAAGGAAGAAGGCTCTGGCTAAGCTGGGAACCCTGACCGATTTCTCATGAAAGATCCATTGTGTAAGAGACGGCCAGTGTGGTGGCACATGGATGGAGATGCGATAGGCGAGAGATCCAAGCGCAAGGCCAGAGTCGACTGGCTTGATTACATAGTACATAGGACATAGCATGTCGTCGGCGGCAATTGAGCCCACCACCGCTTAGGCTCCTCCCTGATCATGCGGAGATTTTCTACCCCAGCATTGGGGATCTACAGTACACGTGGGCAGGCCAGCCAGCCGTTCAGTACCCTGACATGCAGTCTAAGGCACATAGTATCAGTTATTCTTCTCCCCTCCCCCCCCCCCCCACCCTTCTCATTCGCTGGAGGAACTATTTGAGTTCTCTTCTTTCCGGAACCATATCACAACGTGATCAATGTTTGCATTACAACAGGGGTATATCCAATGTAACTCGCTAAAGAGCTCAACGTGCAAAAGAAACAATGTCACAAAGTCCTCCGACAGATGCCTAGGTCACGGGTATCGACCGGGCATCTTCGGCTCGAGACTTTCATTCCCCCTTTAAAAGACCACATCTATCGCTCGACCT